CCCCAAAACCCCAAAACCCCAAAACCCCAAAACCCCGGCATATAGAGCTGAGATTGAATAATAACTAGTTATTAGAAATGTTGCATGAGTAATGACTGGTTCTACCAAAAGTTGTATGAGACTAATCATATTTGGAGGTAGGCTTCTTGTATATGTGCAATAACCTTCTCTATGCTTACACAATGAGAACCATTAGTGTCTCTTTAAAACAATTCAACTCTTTCTTCTAGTCTAATTCTTTGCTTCACCCTAAAATAAAAAGTGGTTTAGATAGAAAGAAGTATTTGGCTTATTCTAAAGAGACTTTATTGTTCTCTTTATGAAGCTCAGAGAAGGTAATTGTACCGATACAAGAAGACTACCTTAAATATGACTAGTTGAATGCAAAATTTGGTAGCGCTAGTCACTATAAATCATGATTACTTATTTATCCTTTGCCTCATTCTCATTCCTGGAGTTCCTGTGGATATCTGATGGGTTTTCAGAAGAACTGGGTTCAAGGTCATAATCCTGTGGCAAGGCCCTCTAAAAGTCAGACAAAGGCTTACAGATCCTTGAATAAAAGGGAGCTCAAAACGTGAGATTGGGACATTTGGAGAATCAGAAGCCTAAATAAAAGATTATGGTGGCATATTTGGAAGATGAGTTGGCACTTTTAGAGATTTGATAAACCTTGGTGGGTTAATAAGGAAGATAGCATTTGAAAATTATTAGAGATTTGATATTATAAATATTTTTGATAGGATTCTAGTAAAACTAATAATACCTATCTTATTAAAAAGATATCGGTATTTTCAAATTCTAAAATTAAATACTGATATCCTAAAATATAAATAAGGTTTTGTGGATCACAAAGTCACAGAATCATTTAAGTATTCTTATCGTAGAAATATTGCCAAAGTAACACTCATCAAAATAATAATTTGAATAATTCATCTTCTTCATATTTCTTACACCCTTCTCTAAAGTCACGAATCTATTAGAAGTTCTTAAAGTGTCATCCTTCATCTTCAAATTCTCATGAATTCTAGAAATAGAAAGTTAGATTTTCAAGTTCAAGACACAGGTCTGAAAGAATTGCAAATCTCCACATTTTGGGTGGAAAAGTATAAAGTTGACTAAATATGTCTATTTTTCCCTATAAAACCTATCGTATAGCTTCAGATCAAGCTACTACTCTACTGTAGGTAATATTCTTGTATGAAAGCCCAAAGATTTAGCCAATGGTAATACTAAAAATAGTCTTACTCATTATTTTTATGAAGAATTTTGGAGCTGTGATCTTCAGGGAAGTTTCCTCTTTTGAACTTCCTCTTGAAATTCTTCCTTCTCAGCTTCCTCCTTCTGCGATTCTTCTTTTTAATAATTCCTAGAGAGTCAGAGTTGGAGGGTACTCCTTGGAGGTGCCTGTGGAGAGTCAGGGATGGATATAAGTGAATTGTTTACAACCTAAATGTTAATGAAATGAAGCACCCTTTGAGAAGTGGCTTCTTTCAGCTCTTCCTTGGAAATATCTGGATTCGTTTGACTATCAAGACTTGAATAGAGTCTAAGTTGAGTCTGAGAGGATAACTTACTTTTTATGTTTGCAGAGAATCTTCCCAAAAATTTTTGTTATCTACTGGTAATTTTAATGAAACTTACTGATTTAACGTAACTCGATTTGTCCTGATTTATTAAAATTAGTAAGAAAACCCACTCAATAATGAACTTTAGATTGAAACTAAGTACTGATAGAAGTACAAACACATTTAGTGCTTCATTTTGCTTATCTTGTGAGTAAACCAGAGCAGCTGTGATGGTTCACACTCCAGCCATAATACCTAAGAACTCTATTTTAGAATTTTCGCCATTACTGTATGGTTTTAAATACACTTGAACTCGAGCAGTTGCAATAAGTATCATTAAAGATAGACTTATAGATACTGTTCTGTTGAATAAAAGAGTGAGCAAAATTGCTACTTTTCTAAGAGTATTTACGAGTTCCCAGTAAAATACTTCTGGTTTCAATCCTTGGTAAAGTATTAATAAGTAACTTTTTATCTTTTCATGCCCAGTCTTTGCATGGCTAAGGTACAAGCAAACCATGGCTATTATAGGTCAAGCTATTACCCATATAACCAGGATTGGGAGAGCTACAAGCAAGCTCCATTTCAAGTGTTTAGGTCCAAATCATTCAAGGTTTGTATCAATTTCAGCAACTCTGTATCCTTCATCAATCTCTATTCATCTAAGCATACTAATGCTCCTTTCTGTTAATTTTGGGTGCAGTAGGAAAACAATGGTGATGAATGTTATAACAATATTCCTGGTGAAGTCTTTGACCCATTCTCTTTTAGTATAATACAGTATTACCCAAATGGCTCCCAACAAGATGAACAGGATCAGAGGAAGGAACATCAGGAGAAACAGTTTGAAGATGGCAGTAGAATCAAATAGAAAGTTCATCTCAGTGTCTTTGATAAAACAGTCAAATGATAAGAAGGCATCGCTTGATCCACCCGCCCACTTCACAGGGATTGAAATTGCTATCATAATTGATGGATACTCATTAGACATTGAAGTTGATACTGTTATTAGTTGTAGATAGTTAGTCAATATCCTTAGTAATACAGACAACTCACTTTCGCTAGTTTTCCTGATATTGATTACCATCATAAATATATAGAAGCATGTGACCAGCAAGATAGTCCCGAACACTTGGAAAGAATTGAGGATTGTATTTGGTCATTTTCTACATTCATAGTCATTAACCCTCTCATATTTTACATCTTTGGTAATTAGTCATTGAGCTCACAGATTGCCAGTATATCCTTCTGCTCAGACAGAAGGAGAGATAGAATCCGGTTGGTATTTTCCTTCACAGGCATCTTTGTTGACTCATTGAGCAATTTTAGTTGAGTGATGGAACCTCCTCCAGTAGCCTGATCTCAAGTAAATTTCTGACCCTCCTAATCATTCAGCATCAAAGTCTCATTTTGCTCAGTTTGTTGAGTTGTAGCTTAATGAATATGTTCCAGCTGCTCATACTTCTCATTTATCGCCAAGAATCCTTTCTCCTGGCTGGCAATCTCTGAAGTTGGCTTCAAGCTTTTTCTGTTGGAAGCTACTTCCCAAAACTTGCTTTACTTTAGCAGAATTGATAGATTTAGAACTGACTGAGAAGTTAGAGCTTCTTAGTTCCTTCCTAACTTCTAATGCAAGATTATCAAATACAGCAACTCCTCGCTTGACTTTTGCAGTATTGGTTCCACTTACTGAAGAGTTTGATGAGTCAGAGGGTAAAATAAGGATTTGGTTTTCATCATCAAGGACCATAACTTGGTCGTCTAAATCGATCAGTGCTAATTCAAGGGTTTGAGTTATTATAATTCCTGATGCAACATTATCAATCTCAATAGGATCATTAATTGTACTGTTTCTTTCTCCAATTCTAGCTGGGTAGCTTGCATAATTAGGCCCATAGACAGCTGAATTATTTATAAAAGTAGTTTTTGTGATACTTGGGAGATTGTAATTATATGAAATTGCTCCTCCTTTGACAGTTGCAGAGTTCTTTTCAAATATTGATTTTGTTACATTAAGTTCTCAAGATGCGAAACTTGTTCATTCAAAAATAATGGCTCCTCCTTCAGTTGCGGAGTTCCTTGTAAAATTAGTGCTCTCAATTGCCAACTTTGAATTGGTCATAGAGATGGCCCCTCCTGAACTATTTGAGAAGTTATCCTTAAACAAAGAATGTGATAGCTCCTTAACATTCGAATTCACAAAAGTAAGAGTTTGATTGAGACTTGTCATTTTCAAGCCTGTGATTTTAGTGATTTCAGACTTTTTGAAAAATGCAAAGGTTGAGGTCATATTTGATACACTGATGCTCTCAAATGTGATATGGGCCGTGTCATGAACATAGACCATTACTGCTTCTGATGGAGTTGAGTATTGGACTTCGATGTTGGCTAGATAAAACCAATCGCAAAGCACCACAGAGAGCAAGTAAGGACACTCAGAAACATTTTGGATCTTGATTTGCTCCATTTCAAGATGAGAGTTTAGAGAAGTCATTATTTGAGAATTGGAATCACTGTAAGAGACATTATTCTCACTAATCTTGGCAGAATTTGCAATAATAAAGCTTTCTTCTACTGAGCTTGCTTGTGCTCCTCTAATCTCTGTGTGCTCCATAGTGAATGTGGAATCAAGAATATTAAGTGGAGATATTGAATACTCCAGATTAGAGAATAGAGAGTTCTCAACAGTGACTGTTGATAAGAAAGATTTCAGAACCAAATTCTCATCATGAATATGAGTTGAGTTAAGAATGTTCAAGTTTCCTTGTAATACTTGGAAGAGATACCCTTGCTCCGATATTTCTGTTAAGTTTGTGCTATTGAGGTAGGCCTTCATTTCTTGATGCAAAAATCATAAATTTATACAATCGTCCGAAGTTTCAGTTTTAACACTTGATTTACTTATTAGCTTATTGCTATATATTTCAGTATTCGTAATATTAGGTGATTCTGTGCTAAGAAATACAGTTCCAATTGGATATTGGATAGCATAGTTTTTAAATATTTTACTGTTCTTTATAACAGCCATCCCAAATGATGAAACTTCGAACACTCCGTTTGTGATAGCAAAGTTTTCAGAAATACTTCAGTTATCAATTGTCATCAATGCGTTTGCTTCTATTTTAGCTATTGACGCAACTTTAGCAGAGTTTTTGGTTAAGGTTGAGTGTAAAACACTTACTTTGGCTCCATCAAAAATGTTCATGACTCCAGAGATTGTAGTTGTCAAAGTCAAGTTTGTGAAAGAGCTTCTTTCTATCACAACTTCAGTCTTTTGTTGAACTTCCATAAAGGTATTTACTGAAGATTTGATATTTGTGAATGAACAGTTACTCATTGCAAATAAGGTGCTGAGATCTTCAGTCTGTTTGCTTCCCTCAATTCTGATAAGTCCCGAAGTAATGTTGTTGAAAGTTGAATTCGACAAAGTAATATTTGAGGGAAGTTGATGCATAATTTCAAACAGAGTTCCAGTATTAGTGTACTCAATGTGTTCAAATGTAATGTTTGATAAACTGATCAATAGATTTTTGTTCATTGAGATTCTCTTTGTTGAAATAAACACTCTTTTTGCTATGATAATTGAATCTGAATACCTTATTGATTCAATAGTAAATGGGTTAGGATCATCAGTGATGTTTATGAAAGTGTTTATTTTGAATAATGAGAACGAGGAATTTCTGATCTCAACTTGGCTAAACTGAGCAGTAACCATATTGCCAATATTTAATGTTGCAATATTTAAATAAACAGAATCCCCGTCTGACTCATCTATAGATGTTGTATTCTCCACAGTCAGGTTAGTGATAGAAAATGAATTTATTTCTTGAGCATAAAATAAGTATCCTTCAGATGGGATCTTGGTTAAGTTTAAAGAACAGTCTTTCATCATAATTTCATTAGCAGAGCCCAGCACATTCATAAAAGGAACATCGTGATGTTCAAACGAATTCATATGTATTCCACTCAATTGTATATTAGTAGTTGGGCCAGGTATTAGCTCAATTGGAGAGATTAAGCTGCCTCTAGCATTAGTGTAATTAGTCAGGTAGACATTATTCATACTAAACGGCCCTGAAGAAATAGCATCGAATATTTTCCCTCTAAGGTTGATTCCTTCAAAATAAAAATTGTCAATAGTTAAGTTGGCATAATTAGTGATTTGGAATAGGAAAATAATTGAAGTAATGTTTGTGAATCTGAAATTTGATAGATGAATTTGTTCAGTTCCGGTCTGCCAGAAATAAAATAACCCATAGATTGACATATGATTAATGTTGGAAACAACTGTGTTATCCACATATACATTAATCTTTCTGTATGGAACAGCATGGCTCAGAGAAGTGGGGAGGTAGATAAACCCATTAGATCCTTTAATTGTGCTTCCATCGTGGATTGTATGATTAAAAATACGAATTACTGGAAGATCATCGTTAGGGAGACATTGTGGTATGTTGAAACCAAACCATCATCCTGAGGGCCTGAGTTTGGTTGCGGTTGCAAGACTTCAATCAATATTTGTAAATGTGTAATTTCCAGGAGATGTTGTGGCTATCAAAGTCCCATAATTATATGCGCCTGGATCCAAATAATCACTGATATTGTTAGCATAGTAAGTAAAATTAGTAACTGCTTCAGGAAAATTTCAAAAGACAAAACTAGTTTGAATACAGTTCATTCCCTTTATCATATCACAAGTGATGTTTTCAGCATGAATATTGAGAGGGTTCATTGCAAATAATCCATCTTCACTTGAATTGAAGAACATATTCTCTAAAACAAGTATTAGCCAAAAAATTGCTATTTTCTGTCATAACCCAAAGATTAAAATAAGGAGTTCTAAAAATGAAAATTTTAGTCTAGTAGTTCAAACAATTACATAATTCTGAAGCCCCAAAGTCAACTTTCTCAGCATATTTCTTCTTGACACAGACACAGATTTAATCTAGCACAAAATCTTTGAATTGGGAGGATATATAAGTAATTCCGAAGTGAGAGATAATTGGTAATTTTATCCGAAAACTTGTAGAAGAGAGGTATATTGAAGATAGTCTAAGCCCTGATTATAAGCTAGTCATAGGAAATATCCTTTAGTAATGATATACATTGATCTTCTATTTTCCTCACAATAGTAGATTTGTACATTTCAAATAGAAGTAAATTTTGTCAAGAGAGATAGTGACAGATAGAGGTACAAAGATAAAGGACAAAAGAGGTTGAGTAATGCATATTAAGACTTCTTTCTAATTAAATTGCCTTAGCATGAAACACTCCTAAATTTGAAAGAATCAAAAACAGTCTGAATTTGTAGTATCCATCCATTTGTCCCTCTAATTTCTTCTCTTTCACTTACTAGCCCTTCCAACAGAGTTTAGCTAATCCAAATTATTTGAACATGTTATTTATAAGAAAATGGTAGATCAATGTAAAGCTAGGACAATGTAATTTCTATCAATTTATTTATATCGAGTGCCTAGGTTAGTCCCAGTGTTTTATACTTGAGAAGTTTACTCAGAGGCTCTTTGAGTTACTCTTAAACCTCTTTATTAATAATATATTTCTTTCTCCAAATAGTTAGTTAAGTAAATTTTAGACAAATAAATTCAGAATTTTTGGATTTTATAAATTTTGAAATAAATTTTATGTAAAAATTATTAATAAAATAAAGCGTTTCCAAATGAAACGAAAATATTAGCTATCTACAATTCCTAACTTATACTACAATCATTCAACCAATTACTAAAATTTGAAAAACTCTCTCCTACTAACCCCTTAACCCCTCAAACCTCCCCATTCACCCCAAAACCCCCACCCAAAACCCCCACCCAAAAACCCAAATCTCCCCAAAACCCCTCAAAATTCCCAAAATTTGCTCCAACTTTTACCCCACTAAACCTCCTCAAAACCCATCCTCCTTACCAAAACCTGACATTCTACCTAACTTCAGCCCCAATTACTTACCAATTCTAGCAACTTTTTCCTGTAAGTGTATCGGAAAAATATCGTAATCGACCCCAGTGCTGTAGATATTGATGTCTTTGAAGTGAACGTTCGTTCTGGAGATGACAAAACCTTTTTTAGGGAGGAGGAAAGCGCCGATCTCGGTGGTGGTGTAGAGGGATTGGTCGATGAATGGGGATGGGTCGAGAGGGGTGGATTTTAGGAGGTGGACTCGGGATTTGGAGGAGATGCCTGGTTGGGAGGATAGGGTTATGACGATGTTTGATCTTTGGGATGTTGGGTGGTAGTCTGGGTGGTTTTGGATGGTGATGGAGGTCATGTTCAGCACGTAGAAAGTGTCTGTTTGGAGGTAAGCTTCTTTTGTGTATATAGTGATGTTGGAGTTTGAGTGGCTGTAGTGGTTTAGGATCTCAGATGCAGCAGATTTTAGAGTTCTGTATGGATAAGTTTGAGTTCCTAATTCAAGGATTTCCGAGCTGAAGTGGTCAATAAAAATCTCAGTACTTCTTCAAATTTTACCATGGGTTAGATATTCTGAGTTTAATACAATTTTTCCGGACTCTCAAATATCAACTCAGACCAGGTCATCCACATCCAAGAACTTCTCCCCATCACAACTCATACAACTTGGCCTATGCATTCATTCCTTGTAACAAGAAGTCCCTCATGGCTCACAACTCTCCGTAATTAAATTATAATACTTTTCTACTTCTCAGTGCTCTCACAATCCTGTTGTCGCATTCTTGTTCATATACTTCTCTCATGTATCTCAGACTGTTCCTTCACTACATGTCTTTCATGAGCTTTCTCAAGGCTGGCATTCTTCTCCATTCTGGAAGTACCCTTCCATACATCCGAAAGGGTAAGTCCCCATTGCAAGAGGAACTACTAGGCAAAGCCAAAGTGCTAAAACTCAAGAGATCTTTGCTCTTAGTCTTGTTTTGTTTGTCTTCTTCATATGGTCTTAATATCAACAAAACGGTTTATCTAAATGCTAATTAGTCAGATTTCGAAGAAGAAGTTTTATAAATGATCAGAATCCAGTTAATTTTGAAATCCTTTGCTCGAAGTTAGTAATATGGAATAGGAATTTATTAAAACCAACATACTTGGAAAGAGGAATATATTTATTATTATGATTGCTATAATATTTTATTGATATGGGGTTTTGGGGTTTTGGGGTTTTGGGGTTTTGGGGTTTTGGGG